GTAAATCATATTTATCGTAAGACTCTGTACACACATAAAAGAGGGAAGCTTTTTAGGATGAAATAAATCCAATGAAAAAGGAAACCCGTATTATTTTTTCTTCATTTTATATAGAAATGTGATGAAATAACATTTTCGTTTGATTGAAAGGCTTTTGTCGTGAGAGACAGTCATCGGTATCTTGCTTTTTTATCAGGAAATCCAATTTGTCTGTAAAATAAAATCTTGGACTTTAATATCCGCCGAAAACTGCGTCTGTTGCCGCCCTACTACACGTCTAACTCCGAGTGACAACATAAAAGGTGTGGTGTTTCCGGAGACTCTACTCTGTGTGTGTGTGTGTGTACGAGTATCTTCCATGTACGTTCATGTCATGTATATTCGCTTTGTCGTGCCAATATCCTTTTTTATTGTTTACCCAGAATATTAGTTTTTCTTCTTAATTATTTAATTTTTATTATTTCCCAAGACTTTATGATTTATATTGCCTCAGCGTTTGCTTCAGTAATGATAGTAATGATAAATAAACTGTCAGTATGTGGTTTATCTTGAGAGATTTCCACATTAATGAATTAGTGTATAAACCAAAGTCACTGTTAGATGTACACGGAAGAATTAATGGTATTATGGATAAAATAAAGAGAGGTATGTAAACAGAATAACGTCTGGACATAATAAATACCCACCAGGAGCCATAAAACCGCCACAGGTAACCCAAGTAGTTAAGGTCCATCTGTTCTCTGTCTTACAACTGATTACTAATTTTTTTTACCTCTGACTTCTCCACCAAATTAACAGTGGTGCTCCTAAATTAGTCTCTGGGAAAATCTTCAACCCTAAGAATTTGAGATAATCCTCCACTCTCTCTCTCTCTCTCTCTCTCTCTCTCTCTCTCTCTCTCTCTCTCCGTTATTCACATGTCTCTACATCAATAATTAATATCGTACTCATTTAATTTTTCCTTTGCTTTATTTTCGTGTCATTGTGCAGTATTTATGTAGTGTGTTCATGTAATCATATCTCCCTCCAGCATTACTCTATTGACTGCCTCAGCTGGAGGTGTCGTCGTCTAATGAACTGGGGAAGGAATTAATTATCTCTTATTCTGATTATTGTTTTCCGATACACACAGGGCGTCCGATAAAGCGGTGGTGCAGTTTAAAATATTAATAACTTAGGTTCTATAGGAGATAAAAAACATCTGTAAAATGCTTTGGAGAGCTAATTTATTCAAGTTATTTTTATAACATAACCAAAGAAATTTATTTCTTCTTTTTTTTCTTTGTTTTTCCAATTAATCTGCCACAACACTGTACTGAAAACTTCAGTAGAAGAAGGTGAACTGTGTCGTTAGCAGAGTTAAAGTCTGTAACAGCGGTTGGAAAAATTGATGACTCATTTTTTGGACTCTGTAAAAAGCTTCCTCTACAGACGCCAGCCCTCTTTTACTCGGTCTTCCGTTTCGTAGTTTGTCATTAACGGAACCAGTCTCTTTAAACTTCTTCATCCATCTTGTAATTGATGGCCACTAATTACTCTGCAGTCATCAGTGGACCACATATTCATAATCAGCAAGGTCAGGAGTACCTGAAGATGTTGGAGGCTCTGTCTTCTTCGTTTTGCGCAGCAGCTGCAGCAGAAGCAGCCAGGCCTCTCACCAACCTCCTGTGGTACTGGGATCCTGCCCTCTCCCCCTCCCCGGACCCTTCAGTCGGGTTCCGAGCCAAGGAAGGCCGGTTCCTCATAGGGTGCCTGACTACTCCGACTCGTACCACGGGCGGTCTCATCAACATCTCAGTCCTAACAAAGCCAGGCCTTCATCAAGAGAGGAACTTCTCGCACCGACGGACCTCCTCTCTGTTAAGACACCTGATGACATCAATCAGGGGGCGCACAAGTGGGGCTCGGATCCCAGGACTGGTTTATGCACTGGCAGGGCCATTTTTACAGTGATGCGGCGGGGGACCTAGTTCTCTCTCCCCGTTCCGTCCTAGAGGTCGACGACGGGCGGATGACTTGCGTTCGGGTAATTCGAGTTCCGACAGCTCTGCCTGTTGAGAAGAGATGGTCTCAGCCCTGTCAGGAACGTCCCTGGTCGCGGCCTGGACGCCTTCGACTCTCTGGCCTCCTGTTCCGTGCTGCCCACGGCAGGTTCGTCCCAGTGGCAACCTACAGGACGATAGGAGGTGTGCCGGAGGCCTGGCCAGGCCCTCTTTCCATGGGAAAAGGTGGGCCTGGACCTCCAGTCGATCTGGACAGGTTGCTGGAAGGAAAGCTCTATCATAACCTCCCCGTTACCGGCTCCTGTAGTGTTATCTCCCCAGGATGGCCTGGTGCCAGACGAGTTGATGGAGTTCTTGTGGGCTCCAGAAATTAACCCAGTCCTCCCTCCCATGGCAGGCCTCTGAGGTAGCTCAGGCCACCCTGACCATGGGCACCATGGAGAGGCAGAAGTTTTAAAACATTGTAATTGTAATAAACGATTAACTTCGTGTTCAGCAACAGAATAGCGACTGAATCACACCAATTGTTAGTTAAGTCTCTGACTTCATCGGTGTTGATTATCGTGGTTGTTATCTCTCTCTCTCTCTCTTCTTCTTCTTCTTCTTCTAGTTCCTGTCATCTTGACTATTTCTCTGTTGTACAGTCTCAAGTCTTCTCTTTTACTCAGTGTAAAAATAAACGCCTTGATAAATCTTTTGAGGCGATACGTTCACTCTACCCTATCGCTGCTGTCTAAAGCGAGCGATGTTTACATATACGATTGAAGTCATTTACTGAGCATTTCCTTGTTGAAAGACTAATATTATAGAACTACCAGTTATACAAGCATGTAAATTATATGTCCTTAGGCTCTTTATTAACTTTTTTTAAACTTGGGGATAACGAACACCAACAGAGATGTTTGTTCTCCCGTGTTCAAGACCCGGAAATACACATTACTCCTCTGTTGTTGTTGGTGTCTGTGTGTGTGTCTGTGTGTGTCTGTGTGTGTCTGTGTGTGTCTGTGTGTCTGTGTGTGCTGTATATGGGAGAAAGAGAGAATTTGAGGTTATCCTTATATACAAACTATTAAGTCTAGGAATATGATATCTTTCTTGGGTAATTGTCTCATAAAACTCTAATGATATCTTGTCACTGTGTTTGCCAGTCTTTATTCTTACTGTGCTTGGAGGTGTAGTGCCGACCGCCTCTCCTTGCAACTATGGACTTTCTCTATCCTTACCTGACGTTAAGAAGAGTGTACAGGTGATAATAATTAGTTATGAACAGGTATACACAGGTCAATGAAAAGCTGGAGGAAGTTTATTGACTTTATTTACCTAATTTGATCACGATATTGAGTGTTAGTGTGTTGGGGGGCGGGCGGCCACCCTCGGGCTCTCTAGGGTCCCACCACACCCATCACAACCACCACTATCACCACACTATCACCAGCATCACCACCACACCCCATCACAACCACCACTATCACCACACTATCACCAGCATCACCACCACACCCCATCACAACAACCACTATCACCACACTATCACCAGCATCACCACCACACCCCATCACAACCACCACTATCACCACACTATCACCAACATCACCACCACACCCCCACAACAACCACTATCACACTATCACCAGCATCACCACCACACCCCATCACAACCACCACTATCACCACACTATCACCAACATCACCACCACACCCCATCACAACAACCACTATCACCACACTATCACCAACATCACCACCACACCCCATCACAACAACCACTATCACCACACTATCACCAGCATCACCACCACACCCCCAACCATTACCATCACCACTATCATCATCCCCACCATTACCACCACACCCCGTCACCACCATCACAGCAACCATCACCATATTCCCACCACCACCACCACCACAACATTACCCTATAGATGAAACAAATGGAAGAGAAGAAGAGAAGAAAACCATTGAAAAATAACATTAACAAGACATAAAAAAAACAAATGAAGAACCACATGTAAACAAAGAGAATGAAATAAGAGTGTAAAAGGTAAAATGAGATAAGAATGGAGAGATAAGAGAGATAAGAGAGATAACAGAGATAACAGGAGAACTTATGGACAGTGAGAGATAACAAGGTATAAAAATTAGTGGATAATACAATGTGATAACAGTAAAAGACGAAGAAAAGATGTGTATAGTGTAAGTCAATAATGAGAGGAGTTAGAATGTAGTTGAAAGTGTTAAAGGAAAAGATGATTTAGTGATAAGAAAATAAATGAGGTAATTAGAGAAGATACGAAGATAAGAACAGAGGACAAGAAAGGAAATTATAATAGAAATGAATAAAAATGGTGTATACAAGTGTAGTGAAATGATGTTAAATGATGGTGAGATATATGGTGAAAGGTGGTGAAGGAATGCTTGTGAATGGTGAAAGGCTGCAGTGATGGTGAAAGGCTGCAGTGAATGATGAAGGTTTTAAGTGATGGTGAAGGTTTTAAGTGATGGTTGAAGGCTTTGTAGTGATGGTGATCTATGGTGAAAGTGTTTAATATCCAACTGATAGTGATTTATTGATCCATTGATAGTGACAAATGGTGAAAGTGATCAATATCCTCAATAAACAACTGATAAAGGCGGATATAGTGAAGATGGTTAATGTCCGGAAGATAGTGAATTATCCTTTGATGGTGAGAGTGATGGTGAGGGTGTTCACTATCCAGTAGATACAGTGAAGAAGAACATGAGAAACGTAATATAGGGACTATGGAGAAGAGGAGACAACAAAACAAAGGAAATGAGGAAGCAACGATGATAAGAACTGGACATAATGAAGGGAAGGTTTAGTGAGAGAGAGAGACGTGTTCAACTGCCCAACTTCTTTTCATAGACAAACAAAACTTAAAAAGTAATTTAATTCACTCAAAAGGTAAAAAAAAAAAAAATACAATGATATCTATAAAAATATACAAATGAATCTACATAAACAATACATATCCCAAATAAATGACCTACAAAAATTTAATTGTGTAGAATACGTCTAATCATATATTACCTATAATTACTTTTAACAGTTTAGAAATTATAGCAATCTTAATAATATCTTAACAGTAAAACGACGTATATAAATAATTGTTAAGGTTTGTATGTAGTGAAGTAACGATCAGCCAGACGACATAAACTCTATATATATATGGTAATTCAGCTGTTTATGTAGTAATCGAGACTAATTAACTGCTACATCGGCGACCTAAAGATTTCTGAAGCTGAATTGAAGTGAATCTATCCAGCAAACATTGAAAACATGTGACTGACTATGACATAAATACGTGAATGACATTAACACCTGACGTAAACATATCTAAGAACGCATAACATTAACACATATTAAACATTTAGTGATGACATATTGTAAACATATTACATATACAAACTTGCAATAAACTGATAATACTTTTAATATTTTTCCATATATATATTATTATCATTACAGCTTTTATGTACAAAATAAACTTTTACTTTTTACATAGATAATAAAATACTCATTTGAAGAATATGTTATTGTACTCTTGGTAAATATTAACAAGACCTTTTGGGGGCCTAAATCAGACTGACATAGGAGAAATGTTGTTCCGGGTCGTTTAATTTACACTCTATTTCCTCCTCATATTCACAGGTTCATACGTCATTGAAATGTTGTTTGGGTCACTCTCATGTTTATGCAGCAGTAAGGAACGTGGTGTGATTTTTTACTATTGCATTACTAAACATTTTATGTATCGTAAAACACATATGTATCAATATAATCGGTAAGTAATAAATATAATTGTATATATATATCAGAAACATAGGTTAGTACAGGGTATAGCTAAATTCTGTCAGTATTACTATATTCTGTCCATACTAAGAGCTGTCCGCATTGCTAAAATCTGTCCCTATTACTAAAATCTGTCCTTATTACCAAAATCTAGGTGTATTAATGTTAACATATCTCTAAAACATCATTTAATCTATCAGTAAATTAGTGTCCTCCTATGTCTAGTGTCTCTGCATGACCTGTGTATTCTGTGGCAACTCTCAGACAACATGACTCTATACATGACATAGATACCATGGCACCTCTAACATTACCTGGGCGTGAGATCGAATTGGCTGTCTTTACAAGGTTTAATCTGCCAAGGAAACATACCAGTTGAGTTATCACATCTTGTATGGATTAATAACCTGCTCTCTATAAATCATTTATTTATAAGTAAACGAGATCCTAATTTACTTTCACTAAACTGTATATTGTAATGTCTAGGTTATTAGTTTATATTTACATGTGGTCTGCCATCATTGTACACAAAGATAAAACTCAACAAGCATTTCATTACAGTTCCTGACACAAGTAATAGAAATTGACGCTGAGCAAACTTTGGGCAAGAGATTAGTCGTAATTAATAGTTTGTTTGTCAGACAATTTGTTCAGCATTTAACTTGTTTTTTCTTTATAATTTGGATAGATTTTTTTCTTAAATACGGGAGTTGGAGAGAAGATGACACGGGGAGATACGGTAACGTTGTTCAGCTTCACTGTTCACTCGTGTTCAATTGGCTGTTCAGTCGTGTTCAACTTGACTGTTTACTTGTACTTAGCTTAATGGTTTTATCATGTTCAGTTTGAATGTTCAGTTTAGTTTAAAAATGGATGTTTACTCGCATTCATATTGATTTTAACTGTTGTTGTATATATTAATAATTCTCGTTCAATATGAATATTCAGTTTTGTTCGACTGAATTCATCACCGATGCTGTTCACTCATCACTGACAAACTGTTCAAAACTCATGTTCATTAATGTTCAACATGAAAGCTTACTTACGTTCTTGCACAATATTACACACACAACATAGATCCACCTATTACATATCACAACTTTGACACTAAACATTTTTTACTCATCTGAGAACATCTTATGTGTTGCAGTCAACATGTGTGCACGCGTGAGAAAGACTTAAAATATTATTCATTTTAGGCAACAAAGTGTATGTATTGCCGCAACAGTTTCTTAATATTAGTCCCGTTTTCAGCAGCAGATTTATTATCATAATCGTTACTTTAAAAATAACTTCAAATTGTGTAATAAATGTCTTAGGTTAGATCAAAGCGATGAAAGGTGTATATTTTCTTCCTCTTGGTGTGTGTGTTTGACACAGACATCATTGCTTCACTAAGTGGCCTCCATACAGTTTATATATATCTGCCAGACACGTATAATGCTTACATTTATTTATGAACCAAAAGGGAGGGACAGAGATCACCAAACTCTGGTGTGTTCCACTAGAGGTCTTCAGACATGTGTGATGCAGGTGTTGTTGCTCTCCGTGCCTGGGTCGGCCGAGGACATCGTCTTCCAGCTTGAGGGTAGCCGCGGCTTGCGGATACCCAGCACGGGCATACAGCAGGGCTTGAACAGCTCACTGAAGGTGTCTCTAAATTGCTGGCTCATGGCACAGTACAGCAGGAAGTTGATGGCACTGTTAAAGAGGACCAACATGTCCATGATCTCCCCGAGTTTCTGGTAGCAGGGGAAGAACCCGGAGTCTGGGATGACGGTGAGGAGGCCGAGGATGCCTTGAGGGACTTCAGAGGCAAGAAACAGCACGAGTATCGCTAGCAACATTTTAGTGACCCTGTCGGCTTGTCGTTCAGCATCAGCACCACGACCTGCTGCGTTTTTCATGAGCTGTGCGCGGCGTCTAGCGGCCCGAAGTAGCTCCCGGATGAGTGCGTAAGATAAGCCAGTGAGTGCGCCGCATGGTAGTAGCTTCAGTATTACCGCATAGATCCAGAAATTGATGCTATGCAAGAGCATGCCATGAGCCAGTGCCAAGTGGCTAACATTTACGATGTAAAGTGTGTGTCCTTTGTGTTCTATGGTGCTGATGGTGAAGGTGAGGTAGTTGGGGATGTTGCAGATCACGGAGCAGAAGAAGGCGGCGATACTGACGGTGTGTGTGCGTCTCATGGAGCACCAGGTGGTGTTATTCTGGGGGAAGGCAATGGCGATGTAGCGCCAGACAGCCAGAGTGACGGTGAGCCAGATGGAAATGGTGTGGAAGACCTGGGCGAAGTGCGCGTGGAACAGGACGAAGACGGCCCAGCCCCAGGAGTACTGCGAGGTGAGGGGGCGGCCCTGCCACACGTACTGGTGCATGGTGTAGGGGATGTACTCCACCATCACCAGCAGGTCCGTTACTGCCAGCCCCGTCAGGATAGCGTTGGTGGGCGACACCATGGAACGCCTCGTCAGCACCACCATGTTGATCACGTTGGCCACGGAACCAAACACACACACTGCCAGGGACATGCAGCCGTGCACTGCCTGGTAGCTCTGCCGGAAGTGGTCCCACCCCGTCGTGCTGCAGTAATCCTGTGTCAACAAAATAATTCATATTAGTCATAGGAATAATTATGCTAGTAATAGCAACATACAAACGTGACTGGTTATGACTTTTTCCAGTGACTAAAATTGTCTACAGAAAATCTAGAATTTCTTGTTGGAACTTTAACCCCAACCGTTCAGATGTTGATACGGTGCTGGAAACACTGACGCCTGTTTGAGCACTAAGTGTGACGCCAGGCAAAGTAACTTAACAGAAACTACCACTTGTGTGAAAAATCAGACATTGATCAACCACAGAATCACACCAACACGACGCCGCACTTATCACACACTCTTATTGAATCACTTTAACACGACCCATAAAATCCCACAAGTCACAATATTGACGCAGGTGATAATCTAATAAACCAGACGATGTTTTTTGCCAAATGTTTCACTTT